GATTTTCAATTATAATTATTGATAAATATTAATTAATCAGGGCTGCACGGTGGTGCAGTTGGTAGCACTGTTCCCTTGCAGCAAGAAGGTCCTGGGTTCGATTCCCGTCTTTCATGTTCTCCCCTTGCATGCGTGGGTTCTCACCGGGTACTCCGGCTTCCTCCCACAGTCCAAAGACATGCCTGTTAGGTTAATTAGTCTCTCTAAATTGCCCTTAGGTGTATGAATAAGTGTGTGCATGGTTTGTGTGTTGCCCTGCGATGGACTGGCGACCTGTCCAGGGTGTACCCTGCCTCTCACCCATAGACTGCTGGAGATAGGCACCAGCTTCCCCACGACCCACTATGGAATAAGCGGTAGAAAATGACTGACTGAAAATTAATTAATCAATAATCATAGTCCTAACAGCCCTGATCGACTAAAGGTTTGCCTGTATAAAAACACATCCAAACTTGATAGCGTGCACAAAGCTGATCTATTAAACAGCTGCACAGAGGATGAGGTCTGTCAAATGAGCAGAATAGCAGGCGCAATCCATTTAGCAGGTTTGGTTTAATAAAACGAATAGCACTCACTGGTTTCCTGTATATTTTTAGGATGTTTGAAAGGAGGTGGTCACTGACACAGTGTCATGAACACGTTTAGGGTCGTTGTGGCATGGAGGCATTGGTTCAATCACAGAGAGTAATTTTTATTTTTAAATACTGATGAATGAAGAAAAAACTGGGCTCCAGCAATAGGGACCTATTCACTTGGAATTTCCTTTCCACTTAAATTATGATGTCATTTTGCTTTTTAGGGGGACATTTTGCACTTTTTTCAGATAGATGGAGTGTTTGATTTATACTGAACAAAAATGCCAAGTCAAAGTTATTTGCCCGACATCATTCGCATAACTGAATTTATATCTGTGTACAAGAAAGCTAGGAAAGGAAAATGTTTAAAAGCCCAGGCTAATGCATTAACATAGCTTGACAAAGGAAATTGCCACAGTACAAAATGTGGGCTATTCATAGTTATTAATAACATTAGATATAAAATAACTGATCCTTTATTTGTATTCTACCGTATGGAAGTGTTCAACACAAATGCTTCAAATTAAATCTTTATTCAGAATCAGAGTCAGCTTTATTGCCAACTTTGTACAGACAAACAAGGAATTTGACTCTGATACACTTTGCTCCCAATAATAAACAATATATTTTTGAATGTACACATATACACAATTTACTTTACAATATAATATAATGTGAGATCAGTCCAAGTTTGCATGGTGTTGTTCTGAAACTTTGACTGTCAAGAGTTCATCAGAGAAACATCCTGGGGGAAGAAACTGTCTCTGTGGTGGATGGTTTTAGCAGACAGCGCTCTGTAGCTGAAAAGAGCATATTCACAGAGTAACGTCTGGCTTCTTTTTTTTGACTGTGGAGTAGACAACATCTTTATCAGCTTGAGGAGAGGAGATGTTCACAGTGCTGTCAGTCACAGAGTCATAGACCTATGAGAAATAGACAAGAAAACAACCTTTACCTAGAGCGGTGTTTGAATGTGTGGGCAATCTTTATTGTTTATATTCCAAATATCAACATGGAAGACGATTTCAGCGCTTAAACAAGATTTAAAGAAATTATTGCATATATACTGCACTGCTGTTAAAAAAAAATATTGTGACAAATTAACTGAGATGATGTATTGTTTAGTCCTGAGTAAGCGATCAGCAAGTGGACAAAGCTTTGTATCCGCACATTTAATTACGTTATCTACTAACTGGTACATTGTACACTACCGACCCAGGGCTTGCTCAGCAGGTCCTGTACTTCGAGATGGCAGCAGCAGCAGACTCACTTATTTGTGAAAATAATGAAAGTAGTTCTAAGAAACCTTGTGAACTATTGATGTGTTGATAAGAAGCATGGATTTGTCATCAGTGCCCACTGTAGTTGTGAGGATGAATAAATTAGCCTGGAGGCTTATGCCGTATTAATATCCTAGTTTTCTACTGTTGGTGCATTTAATGACCAATTAAGTGCTAACATGCGAACCTCAAGACATCAGAGTAAAAGAAACATGGCCAATTTAAAATGACCTGGTATTTTTTTTAAATCCTACCAAACCCACAAAGAAATTTTAGGCAAAATAATCGCAGCAAAATCAACACACACTAATGAGTTGGCTGGTTTATTTAACAGCCAAGGTGGAAAGAACAAACAGCAGCTTCAATGCTGAACAGTTCTCCAGTTTTTGCATTTTGTCTTTTTTTTATAATGTGTCCTGTCTGGCATGGTAGCCCTCAGAATTGTTGTCTGAGTGCCAAGAAGAAGCCCAACAGATTTACTTTCACAAGTGGAGCATACGGCTTTCGCTATAACATTGCGCTTGATATATTTAAGAAAGAAACAGAGAGAGAGGTAGGGCAAAAAGTTAAAAGAGAGAGTAGATAAAAATAGAGGAAAGAAAGAAGGATAAAGAGAATATAAGATAACACCATAGAGGTCTGCTACTACACCTGCAGAAAGAGAGAGAAAAAAGAGAAAAAACCTACACGGACAAACAACCAATGCAAATATAACAACATCAACATTACGGAAAGTACACACAGTACTAATTAATACATGATGCATTTAGTGGAAGCACAGCTTTATATTGAGTATATCTGTAAACACCTGAATCCAAACAGCTGTAGTTGTTTGTGTGAGCGTGCTTGTGTTTATCCATAAGAATGTTTCTCCATAAGAATATTCAATAGCTGGCGTGAAGTCCCACAGACCACGGGTCTGAACACGGGAGCACAGGAGGACCACTGCCGGGACTACTGCACACCCAGCCAGAGAAGATCAGATGAGAGCCCTGGGGAAATCACCCAGTAGGCGCAGCAGTGCAATAGCCTGAGGGAGCTGCAGCGACGAGCCCACAGGCCCCGTTGGCAGCCGGCTATGCCGGAGTAGATCCAGCCATGTACACAGAAACCCGAGACCCAAGGGTAAGCTTCCTCCCAGCAGTGGCCCGACAGAGCCGGAGTGCCTAGGCCCCACCAAGCAGCCACAGGCTCACTCCCCAGCCCCCGGCACCGAGAACCACCACTGACGTTCAGATATACCAGCCATCGGCAGGTAGTGTGACGTCGGGGGGGGGATAGGCCTCACATTTGATAGGGGACCTAGGATGATCCAGAAAAAGGGTCAGCACAAGACCCAACCCAAGACAGCAAAACAGGCAAACAGTGTTCGATATTGGTGTCCTTGTTGGGGGTGGCCCTGTGGGGAGGTTCATGTTGGGGTTCACTGGGGGTGGGAGGCTCATGGGGTTGGGATTGGAGCTCATTGGGGGGTCGGGACTGCTCCGTCCTGGGGCGACTCTGGTTGGCGGGCTGGTTTGGGCCATGTGGACCCCTCTTTTGTACATAGCACCCTCTCCGGAGGTGGATGGGGGTTGTTGGGGACTGGGTTCAGGGTGGGGGCCGGGCCGGGGCCGCCCGGGTCTGGGCGGTGCCGGCGCTGTCTGCCTGTCTCTGCCCCAGGAGGGAAGGGGACCACCTCCTGGGTCTGAGGGCTGGTTGCCCCTAGGGGGTACCGGCGCCTGGACCTGGGAGTATAGAGTATGCATGGGGAGTGTATGACGTCCATTGTTGTTTGTCTTTACGTTGGGTGCGAGTGATTTTATGTGTATGCATGAGGGTGGGAGTGGGTGATTGTGACTGTGAGTGCCTGTTTTTTTTTTTGTT